CGGCTCGGCGGCGCGGGCGGGGCAGGCGCCGGGAAGGGTGTCCGGTTCCCCTCTGGGGTCTCCTGAGCCGAGCGGGCGGGGCCGAGGGCTTGGTGGCCGGGGTTCCGTGTGGCCCCTGCTCCCCCGGGGCCCTCACTGGCCGGCCAGGCCAAAGCGCCACTACCGCTTGGACCAAAGGCCCAGGGCCTGAACCCCGCGGCCCAGCCTCGGACCCGGAGCTGCTGACAGTTCCCGTGCCGGGTCGGCTGCGCCCCGGGTGCCCCGAGTGCCCCGAGAGCGCCTGTTGGCCAGAGTGTGGCCAGCAGAGCAGGGAGGAGGGTACTGACGGTCCCCGGGGTCCAGCTCTCATTGTGTGGATGGGGAAACTGAGCCCCGAGCAGGGGTGCATCTGCGAGGCCGCGGCGGCTTTGCTTCCTTCCCTCTCTGGCGACTAGGAAGTTCGTGGGCTTCAGGCTCGGCTCCGGAGACTTCATCTGCGGGACAGCCGCTGTTTGAGGATCTGGCAATGCGCTTAATCATCAAGGCTAGGTTTTTGGCTGAGAGGAGAACTCTGGAAGTCCTGTACAAACTGGACTTGCAAAACTTCCAAAACTCTAGCTTTTAATTGCCATCCTGGAGTCACCTCAGGAAATACTTCTGCTGAGGCGGGTTTCCACTTTAAGAGAGGGAGGGCAATGGGGACCCCATTTCTCCTTTGGATGGTGTTTGCTCAGAACCCAGGGCAGCTTTCCCTACAAACTCTGAAAGTTTAGGAAGCTGACAGACAGCTGCTTGGCTTTCAGAGCTTTTTTTTTTTTTTTTTGCCATATTTCTTTCAGCAGGCATTTGCTATTGCCTACTCCCGTGCCAGGCACTGCGCCCGCTTGGCATGAGCGACACAGACTCAGTCTGTTGTCAAGACATCGTCTAGTGGAGAGACAGGCAGGAAAATAGTAACGAACCTGCGGGATATGTGCTATGCAGGGACGTAAATATGGGAGCACGTGGTCAGAGACGCCTATGCTGGTGGGCATGGCAGGCTTCCTGGAGAAAGTGGATTTGAGCAGAGTCCTGAAGGCCAGTAGGCGGTTAGGCGGTGGCGGTGGTAATTCCAGTTAAGGAGAACAGGCTGCATCTGGAAAGGGCCTGGGGATGGTATGGTTCATCCCAGGGCTCCCAAGCAGTTTTAGTGGGGTGGGATAGGCTGGTGGGGGATGATCCTAGACAGGGGCCTAGGCGAGATGGTACATGGCTTGGGGCCCCATACTGGGTGCTTGCTGTGCTCTTTTGCAGATGTGGATGAGTGTGCCCAAGGGCTAGATGACTGCCATGCTGATGCCCTGTGTCAGAACACACCCACCTCTTATAAGTGCTCCTGCAAGCCTGGCTACAAAGGGGAGGGCAGGCAGTGTGAGGGTAAGTGATTTGGGAACCACATGAGGGGCCAGCAGGGAGGCTCCCACCTCCTTAGTTCTTATAGTAGCAGCTCATGCTGGGAAAAATGCTCCCCCCCCAACCCCCATCCCCTCACTTCCCCCTACTCCTGAGCCATATCACCTGCTCTTTGAAATGCATTTCAAATCCTTAAAGAACTGGGAACATTAGTGCTTCCCCAGAGCTGATTATACAGTTTTATCTGGCTCTGAAATGCCCTTTGTCTAGCTTCTGGAAAAGAAAAGAGGTGCTTTAGTGTCCTTTGGTCCCATTCAGAGCCATGCTGATCAGGAGAGCCAGGCCTGGCAGAGCAGGGCTGATACTGTACCTCCTGGGGTAGTTTGTACCCTTGCCCTGAAGTCTGAACGCTGGAGTCCTGCCCTCCCCTGCTAGATCAGGAGGCTCCATCCACGGCTTCAGCCTGGTGACAAATATCATCACAGTCTTTGGCATTGTGATCTGCCAAACTTTAGAGCTACACCAAGGAACTACTCCATTTAGAGCTCCCAAATTCACCCTGGAGAGATAAGTGTACAGAGGGATATTTTAGCCCTTAGACCTCCAGATCTGGGAACCTGAAGTCTGGACTCTGCCATTTTATATTCTAGGCTAAGTGTCATGAACTCTGAAGTTCAGAACTGGCCAGAGACAAGATACTCACAGGAGGAGGCTACTCCTGGGAATGGAATTCTTGGCACATCAGAGCTGGCAGGGCTCTTTAGGGATCTCTGGGCCAATCCCTTTCCTCATCTCACTCATGGGGACTCTGAAGCCCAGGGGACTTATGGACATGGTCACATAATTAGCCTGCAGGTGGAAAAAAGTCAGATTTCCACCCCACTCTGTCCCCCTCGCTGCATTTCTCATATTTGTTCAGCCTCCTGCTATCCTTTGGTTGGGTGAGAAATCCTACTATCTGTGGTCATACTGCACAGGAAGAAATTTAAAACAGACCATTGAGCTCATCTCTGCAATTCCTTCCTTGCCTCTGGACCTAACCTTGACAAGCTTGTTGATAGCCCATTTCATGTCGACAAAACTCTTTGTAGCTTGGGCTTAACTCCAGTAGGAAATGATCTGAATGCTTCTGAATACGTATAAGGCCTATGCATATTGAGTAAGAAAGTCACTTTCCACTTTGAAAAACTTCTTTAGAAGTTTAAATTCTTTAGATCAGGAGGAAAGTTTTGAATAAATGTCTATTCTAGTGCCATTTAATAGCTTAGTGTTCATACACTGAAGTTTCAAACTAATTTGTTTCATATTGTGGCCTCTGAGTGATAAAAATTCTTGGTATTAGAACAGTGTGTAATGGCCAGTGGTGCCTGGTACATGGTAGACACGCAATAAACATTCTTGTTTTTTAATAAATGACCATACAAAATAAGCTTAGTCACTATCACATTGACACAAAGTTTTCCCGACAAATAGACAAACACATAAATAGAGAATATGCCACATAGGCAGGTGACTGGCAGATGCTTTTGTTGTGTCTGGGGAGCAATGGCCTAATTCTGCTCCCCCCTCCCTTCTCCTTGTCTTCTTAACATAGCTGAGACAAGTTGGATTTTTAAAATGAACTTTGTTACAAGGAGGACCAAAAAAGAAAATATAGACTACAAATATGGGATTTGGGAGTGGGATTCTAAACGGCAAGTTTGGGTCAGTGATACCCCTTGGAGCCAAACTTCTGCCTCTCCCATCAGAGGAGGCATGCTCCTGTTCAAATTCATAGCAAGTGGGATTGGTGGTCCATCCATGAAGCCCTTGTGCTTCTTCATGTTTATATTTGCCTAGAGACTTTTTCTCTCTGCCCTATGTTATGGGAGGCCAAAAGACTATCTCTCTCAGAAACATCTCTCTGCACACCCTCTCTGTACTTTTTTTTTTTTTTTTTTTTATGTTACAGAGTCTCACTTTGTTGCCCTCAGTAGAGCACCATGGTATCATAGCTCACAGCAACCTCAAACTCTTGGGCTCGCGTGATCCCCTTGCTTCAGTCTCCCGAGTAGCTGGGACTACAGGTGCCTGCCACAACACCAAGCTATTTTTTTTAGAAACAGGGGTCTTGCTCTGGCTCAGACTGGTCTTGAACTCATGAACTCAGGCAATCCACCTGCCTCAGCCTCCCAGAGTGCTAAGATTACACACGTGAGCCCACTGCACCCAGCCTGTATTCTTTTTCTTTTCTTTTCTTTTGAGACAGAGTCTCACTCTGTTGCCCTGGGTAGAGTGCTATGGCATCATTGTAGCTCACAGCAACCTTAAACTCTTGGGCTCAAGTGATCCTCTTGCCTCAGCCTCTCAAGTAGCTGGGACTAAAGGTGCCTTCCATAATGCCCAGCTAGTTTTCTATTTTTAGTAAGTAGAGCCAGGGTCTCACTCTTCCCGATGCTGGTCTGGAACTCCAGAGCTCAAGCAATTCACATACCTTGGCCTCCCAGAATGCTAGGATTACAGGCGTGAGCCACCCCACCCAGCCCACCCTGTAGGTATTAAATATTCTATTTGGAGTACTAGAATTCACATGTTGGTACCTGGCTTAGGGAAAAAAAAATTCATTTCTTTACCATAGGAATATTCCATGTCCTCTAATTGCTTTATGCTATCTGGGGGATAGAAAACCATGCCACTGATTTCATTTAGGTAACGTTTGTCTTTAGTAAATGATGTTAAGTGACAAAAAGCAAGAATTTCCTTATTCTTAGCTTTTGAGATTGATATATAAGTATTATAAAAGAATTGCCAACAGTTTGTAGTTGAAAAGTCTGCTATTTAAAGTAACTAATGACTGGTATTTCTCCTTTGATATATTTAAATTTAGTTTAAAATAATATATGATTATTGTTATAAAAGTCAAACAATACAAAAATGTGTAAAACAAAAAAATAAAGTGCCTCCTATACCTTTATCCACAGATAGTCATTGTTAAGGGTGAGCATATGGATATACTATCATTTTAAACTAAAACTCTAGAAGGATTTGATCTTTTGAATACTGATAGTACTTATAAAGCTAGTAAGAATGTTGAGTTTGGATTTTTTTTTTTTTTTTTTTTTTTTGCAGTTTTTGGCCAGGGCTGGGTTTGAACCCACCACTCCTGATATACGGGACTGGTGCCCTACTCCTTGAGCCACAGGCGCCACCCTTGAGTTTGGATTTTTTTATGCAGGAGTACTGCTCACTTCATTGAGCAATATTACCACAAGGGTGCTGTTTCGTCTTTCTCAGTGTTTCATCAGGGGCACATGACCTCACCATGTCCTATTTTTGGTGATGTTAACCCGAATCACCTGGATAAGATGGTTTTTTACCAGGTTTCTCTGCTGCAAAGCTACTGTTTTTTTCCCCTTTGCCATAACATTTTGAGACTATAGCGGTATCCTGTTTCTGCCCAAATCTTTGCTCACTGTTGTTGGCATTCAGCTGTGCATCTTGCCTGCAATAATTATTATTGTGATGTGTGACTTCTGATAATTTTTCATTTCCCCTATTCCCTCATCCCTTATACATCTATTAATTGGGATTCTTTTGTAAGAAAGAACTATCCCTTTCTGCCATTTGTTTATTTATGCACTTCTTTATTTATTTATACTACTATGGACTCATGGATATTTATTCAATTATGTCTATATAAATAAATATTTTTGGCTCAGATGTTCCAGCTTCAGCCACTGGAGCTCCCTCCCCTTGTCTCTTGTGTCATTTTGACACCATTTGGGGGGGGATTTCTAACCTTCTTGTACCACAACATGTTCCAGACTCATGTTTTCCCTCGTTCGGCCTTGGGATCAACCACTTCTCCGAGGAGCTCTGATTCTTTTTATTAGAAAATGGCATATAGGCAGCACCCGTAGCTCAGTGAGTAGGACTCTGGTCACATACACCCAGGCTGGAGGGTTCGACCCAGGCCCCGTCCAGCTAAACAACAATGACAACTGCAACAGAAAAATAGCTGGACATTGTGGTGGGCACCTGTAGTCCCAGCTACTTGGGAGGCTAAGGCAAGAGAATTGTGAAAACCCAAGAGTTTGAGGTTACTGTGAGCTATGACACACTCTACCTGGGGCAACAGCTTGAGACTATCGAAAGAAAGAAAGAAAGAAAGAAAGAAAGAAAGAAAGAAAGAGAAGGAAAGGAAGGAAAGGAAGGAAAGAAAGAAAATGGTATATAGAAACCAAGATCTAGATGCTGGGTGATCTCATTGCTATAGGGCTGTCATTGTTCCTAGGGCCTCTCAGGGTTCAGAGCTAGGAAACACATGGATATAAACTAACCCACCCATACACGTAGATCATCAGTATTTATTCCTTATATCTATTCACTTGTATATATATTTAAAACAGAGTCCTACACGGATACTTTGAGTTCCAAACCAATACCACAAAATTCATTCTAACATATGTCTTTGCTTATTTGTAACTTCTTTCTCCAACAGTGAGAAAATCTGGCTCTTATTATCTGCAATGTATTTACCCCTTTGTTCAATCCTCGTACATATGTATTTACAGAATTCCTAGTCCATAACCCTGTGAGTAAAACAGATTTACTAACTAGAATACTGCATTTTCTAGAGGACAGTATACATCTGTTTTTGTTTTTAGCCTTATGGCATCTGGTCAAGATGTTTTTCAAAGTTACCCGGTTTACTACTTTTCTTCCTGATCCTCTTCAGTGTGGCCATGCTAATAATTTATAGTGCAGTTAGGTTCATTTGTTTCTTTTCTATTCCATTGTTTTTTGACCACTCCCACCCCAGGTTCCTGGTCGGTTGACTGCATGTTTGTGTGTATGTATGTAAAGCCTCAGCGTGGTTCTAAGAGTCAAAGCTACTTCCTTCTCCTTCCTGCTACCTGGTTTTCATGCCTCCATCTTTCCACCTTTTCCCCTGGGCCCTATGGGTCACCAGTCTCTGTAGTTTCTGTCTATCCTTTCTACATTTCTTTTGTACAAATAAGCAGATAAATGTGTAGTTTCTCTTTAACAGCTTCGCCGAGGCATCAATTATATGCTATAAAGTTCACCAATTTTAAGTGTACAAAGCAATGATTTTTAGTAAATTAACTGAGTTGTGCAACCATTACCATAAGACAGGTATCAGTCATTTTCCTCACCTCAGTACCTTATTCCCTGCCCAGTCCCAGGTAACCAGTAATCTACATTCTATAGCTATATGTTTGTCTTTTCTGGACATTTCTAAACAGTCATACAATATGTAATCTTCTGTGTTTGGATTTTTTCACTTAGCATAAGGTTTTTGAGGTTTATCCATGTTGTATCCTGTATTAGCATGTCATTCTTTTTTATTGTTGAATAGTATTCCATTGTATGACTATACCATGTTTTGTCTATTCATTCATCAGTTGATAGGCATTTAGGTTGTTTCTACTTTGGGCTTTTATAAATAGTGTTGCTGTGAACATTTACATGAAAGTCCTTGTAGGGACATAATTTTACATTTCTCTTGGATATATATCTAGAAGTGGATTTACTAGATCATATGATAAATTTATATTTAACTTTTTTTTTTTTTGAGGCAGAATCTCACTTTGTCACCCTTGGTAGAATGCTGTGGTGTGCTCACAGTAACCTCAAACTCTTGGGCTCAAGTGATTCTCTTGTCTTGGCCTCCTGAGTAGCTGGGACTACAGGTGACCACCACAATACCCAGCTAATTTTAGAGGCAGGGTCTAGCTCTTGCTCAGGCTAGTCTCAAACCTGTGAGCTCAGACAGTCCACCTGCCTCAACCTCCCAGAGTGCTAAGATTACAGGTGTGAACCACCCTGCCCTGGCCCTTATGTTTAACTTTTAAAGAAACTGCCAAACGGATGGTATAGGGAACAAAAGAAAAAACTAGATAATTGGACTTTATGAAAATTTAAAATTTGTGCTTGAAAAAAACAGTATCAACAGAAGATGAAGACAACTCACAAAATGAGGAAAATACATTTGGAATACATTCTGTGAGCAGGGTACCAGCCACATACACTGAGGCTGGCTGGTTTGAGCCTGGCCCAGGCCTGCTAAACAACAATGACAACTGCAACCAAAAAATAGCCGGGCATTGTGGTGGGTGCTTGTAATCCCAGCTGCTTGGGAGGCTGAGGCAAGAGAATCACTTAAGCCCAAGAATTTGAAGTTGTTGTGAGCTGTGATGCCACAGTACTTTACCAAGGATGACATAGTGAGACTCTGTCTCAGAAAAAAAAAAACCCAAACCAAATACTGTTTGATTTCACATATATGAGATACTTAGAGAGGTCAGAATCATAGAGTCAGAAAGTAGGGTAGTGAGTGCTGGGGCTGTGGGGAGGGAGAATGAGGAGTTACCGTTGAACGGGTGCAGAGTTTCAGTTTTACAAGATAAAAAGAGTTCTGGAGGAGAATGGTGGTGATGGTTGCACAACATGATTTAATCACACCAAACTGTACACTTATAAAAAAGCAAACAATCTCAAGAGACTTAAAAAAACAAAAGAAACTGCCCAACTATTTTCCAAAACGGCTATGCCATTTTATGTTCCCATCAGCAGTATATGAGGGTTCCATTTTTCCACATCCTTGCCAACAGCTGGTACTGTCTCTTTTTTATCGTAACCATTCTAGTGACGTGAAATGGTATCTCATTATGGTTCTAATTTGCATTTCCCTAATATCTAGTGACATTGAACATTTTTCCTTTTTTTTTTTTTTTTTGCAGTTTTTGGACAGTGCCGGGTTTGAACCCACCATCTCCAGGACATAGGACTAGGCGCCCTACTCCTTGAGCCACAGGCGCCACTCAACTTTTCCATGTTTTTATCCATTTGATATCATCTTTGGGGAAATGTCCGTTCAAATCTTTTGCCCCTTCTAAAATTGGATTGTTTCTCTTATTATTATTGAGTTGTGAGCGTTCTTTGTCAGTCCTTTATAAGATAGGTGACTTGCAAATATTTTCAACCAATCTGTGGTTTGTCTTCATTTTCTTGGTGATTTGTCGATCATTTTCTTTTCTTTAGACGTGCAAAAGTTTTTAATTCGGATAAAGTCCAATTTATTGATTTTTAAGTTTAGGGACTATATGTTTGGTATTATATCAAAGTAATATTTACCTAATTCAAGTCTTAAAAAATTTTTCTCATATATTTTCCCTAAAAATACTGGCACTGTTAGCTCTCACATTTAGGTCTCTGAGCCATTTTGAGTTGATTTTTGTGTCTGATATGAGGTAAGGAGCTAAAGTCATTTTTATTTATACGATATTCAATTATCTCAGCACCATTTATTGAAAACCCTAGCATTTCTCCCAATTAATCATCTTGGCATTTTGGTTTAAAATCAAGCGACTAAAGTAAATATAAGGGTTAATTTCTGGACTCTCAATTCTGTTCTATTGATCTATATATCTGTTTTAATGCCCAGACCATGTTGTCTTGGTAACTTTACCTTAATAGTGTAACGTCCTCCAAATTTATTGTCCTTTTTCAAAATTGTTTTGGTTCTCTTGAATCTTTTGTATTTTCATATAAATTTTAAGATAATCTTGTCAAGTTCTGCAAAAAGTGTGCTGCAGCATGACCTTTTTATATCCCCTATATCTTACATGAAGGTCATATAATACAGATGCTGGGTCGACACCTGTAGCTCAGTGGCTAGGGCTCCAGCCACATACACTGGGGCTGGCAGGTTCAAACCTGGCCTGAGCCTGCCAAACAACAATGACAACTGCAACCAAAAGTAGCCAGGCATTGTGGCGGGCGCCTGTAGTCCCAGCTCCTTGGGAGGCTAAGGCAAGAGAATCACTCAAGTCCAAGAGTTTGAGGTTGCTGTGAGCTGCGACACCACATCACTCTACAGAGGGTGACAAATGAGACTCTGTCTCAAAATATATATATATAAAATACAGATACTCTTTTCATTTAAAAGTATATCCTAGAAATCACTTTCAATTAAAAGTGTATCCTCCAAGTCACTTCATAGTCACTTTTTTTTTTTTTTTACAGCTGTTTAGTACTCCCTGGAGTAGAGGCACTGTAATTTATTAAACTATTCTTATATGTAAGGACATTTATTGATAGGTTGTTTCTAGTATTTTGTAATTACAAACAATGCTGCATATTTATTTCCTGTTGTTGGAAATGTATCTTCAGGTTCAATTCCTGGAAGTGGGATGGCTGGTTAAAAGGTAAATGTGTATGTCTCCATATCAAAGAGATAGCATTTGTCTAGTTTACTTCTGTTTTATTCCTCAGACATTGATGAATGTGAAAACGAACTCAATGGAGGCTGTGTCCATGACTGTTTGAATATTCCAGGCAATTATCGTTGCACTTGTTTTGATGGGTTCATGTTGGCTCAAGATGGTCATAACTGTCTTGGTAAGCAAAACACTGGGAAGTGGCAATTCTTATTTATTCACCCTCTAGGATCCTCTCCTTTCTTTTCTTTGGTGCAAACTTATGAAAAAAAGGGATCAGAGACATGTTCTCTGGCCTCTTGGAAAGCAGACTCCCTAATAGAAAATCAGGTAAAGTGTTTTCGTTTTTATGTGATAAGTCATACTCTAAATTCTAGGAGATGGGTGGACATGGCCATTACTTCTTATTGATTTTCTACCATTGACTTGTCACCTATAAAATCTTTTGTCTTGACTTGCAAGGTCTGACTTATAACCCTTTCTGTAATGTTATATCTCTATTCTGAAATTAGTTAAAACTCCTTGTCCTGAAGACTCCAAATGTTTGCTTGGGCCATAGCCAGATAGATCCCCCCCCGCCCTCTTTTCTTAGAGAGAAAACCAAACAGAAACCTTCCCTGAACATCCTTCTAGTATTCCACAAAACAGAAACATCTGTTGGTGTTTCTTTCCCTGAGACTGCAAAGAGAGTTGTTTACGTTTATTCCTTATGCCAGGAATAAAATAGAACTTAGAAGCAGCAACAGTTGGATGGGGCTGAGTGTTGGATAGTCTTAAAGGATACAGCACACCTGGCAGGTAGGTATTTGTAGTTTGCTTTATAAGGCTGGTGTTATCAGTTGGACACAAGGACAATATGGGAGGCACATGGCATCATGATCCTTTGACACTGCTGACTTTTCCTGTGGTGGCCCTACTATGTCTACTTGGCCAAATGAGAATCAGTGAGCCAGGCTCTGACTCTGTAGGGACAGCTATCCCCTTCCACCCGCCTTATGGTGGGATACGAATGGCCACTTACTCAAATGCTTTGAGATCAGCATAAAAAGCACTAGAAAAATTACACGGACAACTTGTGTTGAGGTTCTGGCATTGGGTAGGGGAGTATTTCCATTGGAGAGCCAACCTTCACATGAAGGTTTTTCTGCTTCAGTGTTACTGGAGCTCCATCCTGATAGACTCTGTTCTTTCCTACCTCTGCCCTGTGTGCAGGATCAGGCATTGGTGTGCAGACCTCTTGGCCTTTCAAGCCTGCAGCTGTCAGTAAGATTTGATCAAAGACTACTGGGGGATCAATAACCTCTGTAGACTTTCTAGGCAGTCAGTATTACAAAAAGGCACTTTAAAGAGATACTCCTGAGAGCAGGAATAAATTAATATTAATTAAAAACTCAAAAAATATGTAATTTGTTGGGAAGCATACAGTCTGGGTTTTTATTTGTTTTAACCATTTTCAGGGAGAGAAGTATCTTTGATTTGCCAACAATGGCATTTTGAGGATTCATATCTGACAGTAGACTGATGGTTATCATTGTAGTGCTCTAACAACAGCTTGAGGGAAAGTGTGAGTATCCAAAGAGCTGACAAGCTGAACCATCCAGGGGTTAAGGACCTGGCCACGGTGGTTCTGCACACAGGCCTGTTCAGAAAGCCTGAAGCCCAGAGTTTCTCCTTGTCTTAGCCGATAACCCAGATATCTCCAAAGAGTATTTATTTCCACTTCTCCTGGGGGTCATTGTGGACTGGGTAGCAAGGATCTGCCTTGCAGAGAGACCTTCAGCATCTACTGAGGATTTCTGAAGTAAGGATTCCTTAAAATGAAGGCAGGAGAAAATAAAATGTCTTCAGAAGAGCAGGGCCAGCACACACAGATTTCTCTACAGCTCAGACTTGAAAGGGTTGAACCTCTTTGTGGTGAGAAGCTCAGAGCCAAAACTTTTCAGGGATAGCAGTTTCCTGAGTTCTCCGGGATGACCCTGCACCTCTCCTCAGCTCCCCAACCACACATTCACCACAAATATATTAGCCAGGATATCAAGAGGACAAATACCACTTAGCTCTAGCATTAAACTCAAGAGTGCTCCAAGATCCTGAGTGCCTGCAAGCCTGAAAAACAAAGGCAGCTTTTCCATGCATCTCACCCCATCTGCACTTAGTTTCTATTTATAGAGTATCTGAGAGCTCTCATAGCTATGAAGCTCTGTAGCGGTTGTTCTCAGCCCTGGTCACGAATTAGAATCACCTGAGAAGCCTTGGCCCCATCTAAGACTGGTTATATCAGTATCTCTGGAGGTTGTATCCGGGCATCAGGGCTCTCTCATGTAGCCAGGGCTGGGAACCACTGTTTTTCAGTCTGGAGAAGCTCAGGAGCCTAGTGATAGAATTTGTGTATGTGAACACACGCACTTTTGTATTTATCCAGAATGCCTTGCCTACCTTAATGATGCATTTCAGATGGCTTTGGAGAAAAGAAGTCGTGGGTTAAATGTGGGGCAGGGATGTGGCAGCTCAGAGAGAAGCATGCCTTAGCTCACAGTCAATGCAGGATTTGGTGTTCAGGGAAGCTGTCCTCTCCTGCCTGTTGTAGAACACACCTAGGCCAGGTGTGTCCCAGCACAGCTCATCTTCTGGAATGTGCTTCTTTCACTCTTTAGCGTAGACAAGGGTAGTTTGTTAGGTTTAGGTGGGGATGGCTTGAGTCCCATCAGTTTAGTCAGGCATCTGCTTGGTAGTGTGGGAGGACAGATGACTGTAAGATCTGAAGCTTGAAACCAGATAACAGATATTTAAATGTGAAGTTTCTTATTACAGATATGCCCAGGAGCTAGTGATAGGCACATGAGAAATTAGGCTGGAGAAAATAAATTGCTTTCATATCAGCCTTCTCTTTGAGCCTTTGTTGTCTGAAAATTTGTTTTGAAGTTTCTCTTCTTTGGGTCTGGTCATGCTGCGCTCCCTTGCTTGTTTGTTCATCCGTTGAATGAGCACCTACTGTATTCCAGGACAGTGCTAATTCAAACAAGAAGTCTCTGTCCTCAAGGAGTTTGCAATCTAGTGGTGATGGATAAGTAAGAGTTTGAGAGTGGAATTCAGTGAGTGTATTAACAAGTTGTGCACAGAGTGTTATGGACGTAGGGGGAGGAAGGTCCCCTAACACTGCCTCGCTCCCCACCTTTCTGATGGCTCCTCTCCTGAGACTCCTGGGCCTCCTGCCATCTCCTCTACCTCCTTCCCACCCCAGAATTATCCGGAATCCTAACTCTAGCTTTCTCCTTTTTGTTTCTTTTCTCTCCCTTCCCACACTTCTGCCCTTGGCTCTCTCATTGACATCTGCCACTACAAGTCAATGGTTTTCAAAGCTGTGCTTACCCCACCAGATTCTCTTCCAACCAAACTAAGGTTTCCCACTCCCTGCTGGATCTAGCCCTGAATTTCAGCATTTCAGACACATCACCTCCCTGTCTCGCAGGGGATAAGGGGGAACCATAGCTCCGTTCCCATTTTTTACCCAGCCCTGGTCTTCCCCTTGTTTCTTTACCTGGGTGTAAAGGTATTGTATTCTAAAAATGCTCCACCCCAAAGCCCACCAGCTCCTGGCCCTGCAGCACCTTGTCCACCCACAGTCTTCTTGTGTGCCTGGCCTCCTACCACCATCCTCTGCCACAGCCCCTGCTCCATCCCCCACTAGCTCTAGCCATAGTAGGTACATGTGTGAAGCAGAATCCCAGGATTTCTATTCTTCCCCTTCCCTGTGTCCTACCCTCAGCTGCTGCTTATTTTTCCTGAAGAAAGGGCCTGACTATGTCTCCTCTGCCCCAGGAGTTTCCAGCTGCTTCCCAAATTAAGTAGGAACTTCTTTGTCTAGTATTCAGATTCTGCAGCGTGACCCCAATCTGTCTCCCCAGCTGTCTCTCCTGTAACTTCCCTCCCTGTGCCCTGTGCTCCCGCCAGCTGGATGACTCACCAGTGTCTGAGTAGGCTCCATGCTCCCCAGCCTTCGCGCTATTGCTCACGCGCTCTCTTCTACCTACAACCCCCTCTCTACTGATTTATAATTGGAGAAATCCTAAGGGTTCATCTTTCATCAACTTTTCCATAAAATCCATCCTGATACCCCATAACCAGATGTGACTTCTCTTTCTCTTTGTGCCAACTTTTACTTTATGTCAGAATCATTTGTATATTTGTCTCTTACTGGAGGGCATACTCCTAGAGGGAAGGAATCTTATCTTCTTAATCTGTATTTTACTGTCTAGCACTGTGCTTTGGAAAAAAGAAGGTGTTCAATAAGTACTTACTCACTGACTTATCTTGTGTCCTTGTGGTGGGCCTGGCCAAGTGAGCCCCAGGTCCCTAAGAGCTGGGTTAATCATCTAGGCCTCATTGGCTTTGATAGCAAGAGCTTCTGTGATGCAGGGACCAGAAGAGGGACCTCATCTCTGCCTAGCAGGAGCCCCTGAGCTGTTTGGCTGGAGGGGGTTGGGAAGGTGTTTGAAACAGTCACCAAAGCAGTAGGCTAATCCCTTTCTCCTTCCAGATGTGGATGAGTGCCTGGAGAACAATGGTGGCTGCCAGCATATCTGTGTCAATGCCATGGGGAGCTACGAGTGTCGCTGCAAGGAGGGCTTTTTCCTGAGTGACAATCAGCACACGTGCATTCACCGCTTAGAAGGTACTTCTGTTCTGCTGTGGACAGGCTCAGAGTGAGACGTCAGAGACCCACCCTTGTGCACATACACAGTGACTTTAGAGGGGAAGCTGGAGGCCCAGACTCTGCCGCTGGATAGCTGTGGGCAAGTTATTTTAGCTTCACCTTCCTCACCTGGCAAAGTACATACATTGGACTGGGTGAGCTCTGAGGTCTTTTCAAACTCTCACATTCTCTGATTCTAATATTTGGAGTACATTTCAAACATGACTCGTGTTTCAGGAGCAGTATAACGGACGATCTGCCAAGTTTTTGGAAAAGGTGCTGAAAACCACAGCACCACTGCTCTGGGTGGGTGGACAGGAGGCTGGATCCTTCCCACGGAGACTTTTGATGAATTGCCCTGTTTTCAGCCCCAGGCTAGATCTGGCCCTTCCCTGTTTTGTATTTTTGAACTCTGAAGGACAGAGTGCTCCCTCCTGGGACTTGTGCTCTCTATGTATAGTTTGTTTCACCCATGTCATTATTTACCATTTTTCCATAAATGTGCTTAAAACTGTTCTTTCTAATGGCCTTTATATCATTCTCCTTGCTTTTTAAAAATCCTCTATTATTTTAGTGGATTCTTGGGAGAGAGAGGCACTAAGTACATGTGGCAAATTACTTATTTCTAACTAAATGACATCTTTTTAATTCTACTCTGCTCTCGCAAGCCACAGAGCCACATTTTAGCGGCTGTATTTCTCTTGGGGTTGCATCTGCCTGCTTTTAGGGACATGCCATAAATATTAGACTATAAGCTCCTTTTGTCAAATGTTGCTTATTCATTCCCATAACTTAAGAATAAAGTCATTTTAAGTTCTGGTACTATTTAGTCACAAATTTGCAGATTTATTGTTTTAATCATAGTGTTAGTGACTTTTCAAGGCTTTCTTCATGGAAGATGATTTTTGTCTCATTTCCCAAAGTTGATGGCTAATACCTCACACCTAACTAGAATACCTGTTCGGGTACTAAGAAAAATCCTCAGAGAAAGCCCCAGGGACTGATGGCTTTGCTGGCTATCACCTCACACATCTGTTCATTCTCAGCATTTGGGGCAGGGGAGTCACACACACGGTCTAATCAGGTGAATTTCTTATCTCGTGCCAGGCCCTTGATGGAGTAGCAGTTGGGTTTCATTTTCCTGCCAGGTTCTCTGGTCTCTTCGGTGTATACTGTAGTCTTATCCAACATAGGCAGAACTCAGGGTGGGACTGAATTAAGATGTCAGTGGCACAAAGTGATCCAAATCTCAAGGCATCCCCCCTGTTGGTTACTCAAAACTGCTTCCTGAGAAATCACTCTGTCTTTCTTTTCAGGTGGCTGGGGGGTTGAATCAGAAGGTAAGCCCATCTCTTGAACACCCCCAGTACCAACTCTTCCTACTCACAAAGCAGCCTGTGGCAATTAAGATCTCGTCTTATCCTGGAGCCTCCGGAGCCCTGGCTCAGCCCTTCCCTCCTCTCCTGTAGACTCCCCAGACTGATCAGAGACACAGGCTACTCATAATAGAAGCAAATACAAATGCAGGTTCTCTCTGCAAACTTTTCTAAATTTTCTACAGTTCAGACATTATTGGATCTCCTGAAGAGTATTTAAAATGAACCTATTTGTCTGGAACTCAAACCAAAATCCAAGAATTGGAGTTGTGGTCTGGAAGTGCTCTCTTTGGTTTTCTGTTGTGTTTCAACCTGATTGCTTGGCAAATTCATGGCAGCATGAGCCAACAGATTATAACAATTTGTAATAGAGAACCTTTCCATCCTAGAGTTTTAAGTCTTCAAGTAGAACAGTCTGTAAACAGTTGTCTTATAGAATTTCCTCCCCAGATGGTTCCCTTAGAAAAAAACAGACTTCACAACCCACAGTAGATACCTTAAAAATGATTAAAAGAAGGTAACATTGCAAGCTAGTATTTCTTAGTGCCACTGTTATTCTTTTTAGTAATTATTTACTAAACATTCTTTAATATAGGGGATCATAACAGTTGATTTTGAAGGAAAGTGCAACCTATTGATTTTTTTTAATCCTTACAGACCCCAAAGCGCCCATGAAGAGACTGTGTGTCTTCACCCATATAATGAGGGTAGGGTAGAGAGAAACCATCACCCCAGCCTGCCTTTGTTCCTATTCATAGGTGCTCAGGCTCTGAAAATGAGCACTCCTCTTTTGTTTTGTCTGCTCTGAGAATGTTTGGATGGTGGACTGCGGCCTTCAGGGCCGTGAGGAAGGTTTCAGAGTGGTGAAGAAGAGGCTATATTCTCAGCAGGACCGTTCTCATTTTGTGTAGTGTTTCTGTCTCAGTTCACAAGGCTTATTTTTATTTGGTTTCCAAAAATACTCTTCAGTGGATCCCTGAGCCTGGGGAGCACCAGAATGGGGCCTTTTGAGTGCTTTTAAGTGCTTTCCCTTCTGGTGACCTAACAGTCCTAGACACGACTACCAGGCCGGTTTGGGGAGCGTCAGCCATCCAGTTCAGCCCAGATCCGTCGGCTGCCTGAGCAGTGGTCGTTTGTATTCGGATACTATGTAGAGCTTTGGGGTCACCTCATGAACAGCCGTCAGCATTTCTAATGCCATTTAGGCCTCCACTACCTCCTGGTACTTTCAGATCTAGCTTGATAATGATATGACATCAGGAGGCAACCTCTCTGAATAGAACAGTGGCATCTGGCACATGGTCATTCTTACAAAATGTTTCTTGTGTAAATGAATTGCTTAGAGGCAGTAAATGTCTTAACAGACTTGTAAGCAGAGCAGAAAAGAAGCTCACCTGTTTGAGGAGTGTGGCTTCCAGATGTCATGGCCACCGTTTTGTGGCCATTATTTTACTTACCTGTGAGTGCTGTTTATTTCAAATGCTCTGCCGGCCTAAGGACAAACACATGCTTGCTGGCTCTTCTCCGGAAGACAGGACACTGCTTCTGGACGCAGCTCTCACCTCTCCTGCTATCTCAGTACTAGGGAGCCAGTAACTTCTTTAGAAATTACCAGCCAGAGCAAGACAAAGCTTTCCATCAATCTGGAACAAGCCTCTTTCTGTGTTAATTGACAGCAGCCCAGCAGTGGCATGGGTGAAAGAATGCCAGCAACATCCAGCAGATTGAGCCCTAGAGCACAGACAGCTCATAACTGTGGGAAAAAAACAAGACAAAACAAGATGGTTTTAAAAGAGACACGAGAGTATGGCATGTATTAACCACTGCACTGCCTTTTAGAATAGGAATGGCATCTATTTGTATTAACACACTTGTCCAGTTAGCACAGTTTGACAGTTCTCTGGTGAGAACGAGAGAGTGACTTTTGACTTCATTAGAACCTAATGGCTAAGGCTTTAAGTGCAATATAGAAGAGAGCAGGTAAATAAAACCTTTCCATATTCATGCTTACAACAATGCTACTTATACTGTTAGGAAGTGTCTTGTTGGTAGAGAGCCAGTGAAAACAAAGTCCCTACTCTGAGGGATGTTTTAGAGCTTCACTGCACAGATGCAGAAAGCAACATATGAACAGGTATTAATGATTACTAATACAACACAAGCTGGGCAGATGTCTTGAAAATACTCCTGGGTGTGAAAATACGTCCTTCAGAGTGCTGGTGGGCAGCAAAGTCTCAGAGGATTGGTTTGAAGACGAGGCAGATGCTGGTCAATGACACAGATGTTTACCTTAGCAGTGCCTCATCATTTAGATGCAGGTTAAACCCCCAGGAGCATATCCAGCCATCCCTCTTCCCACTACCATTGCTACACAACTGGGCCTGATAGAAATTTACAGTATTCCTAAAAAGAATTATATAGCAGCTAAAGGAAGCTTCATGTATGAGGTCTCTCTCATCCTGTTCTTCTTGTGTTGTGTGATGCTGGCAGAGGCTTATGCTCTGAGCCTGCTGAGGGAGAGGCCAAGGGACTAACTGAGGGTGGTCACATAAGAGGATCCCTAGGCAGGCGGTCCATGTGATGATGCCAAAATGTAGCAAAGTATGGATCTGGTGGAAGTGGAGAGAGAGTTGAAACATTTTTTTAAATTATTTTCAACAGTATGTGACAAAGTTGGGAATCTTTTTTTTTTTGAGACAGAGCCTCAAGCTGTCCCCCTGGGTAGAGTGCCGTGGCATTACAGCTCACGGCAACCTCCAACTCCTGGGTTCAAGCGAGTCTCTTGCCTCCGCCTCCCAAGTAGCTGGGACCACAGGCGCCTGCCACAACACCTGGCTATTTTTTGGTTGCAGCCGTCATTGTTGTTTGGCGGGTCCAGGCTGGGGATTCGAACCCGCCACCTTAGGTGTACGTGGCTGGCGCCTTAGCTGGTTGAGCTATAGGCACAGAGCCAAAGTTGGGAATCTTTATCATTCTATCTGCGAATTTCCTTAGGAGGACTGTTCTTTTCTCTTTGCATTCTTGATCAGCTATTGTTTAAGATATGGCAGAGATATGAGTGTGAGTACCAGTTCTTAGGATCAGCATTCTCTGACCCCACACCCAACAGAGAGTTCTAGTTTATTGGGAGGGCTCCCACTTCTTTAGGGAAGTTGAAATATCACATCCTGTGGGTGACAGAAGAAAATTTTCATGTCTCTGTTAATTCACCAGGCTTGATTTTAATGACATATCCTTTTAAATGTGAGGCTAATGGAGACCCAAATGGGTGGGTCTGTGGCCCACCCCCATCCCCTTGCAGCAACCCTAGGGCTCAGGATTCTGCCACAGCCCAGTTACCTGTTGCATGCTGCTGTTTTACAGAGGGCCTGAGCTGCATGAATAAGGATCATGGCTGTAGTCACATCTGTAAGGAGGCCCCAAGAGGCAGCGTCGCCTGTGAGTGCAGGCCTGGTTTTGAGCTGGCCAAGAACCAGAGAGACTGCATCTGTAAGTATTACCTGGCACACACTGTCATGGGAGCATCCTATACTAGAGGCTGCCTTCGGTGGTCCAGCATCAGAAATACCTCCACACAGCACAGCAGCAGCATCACGGAAGGTGGCTGGCGCGAGACACTGACCCCCACTGAGTCCTTGCTTACTGCAGAAGGGAGTCTCCTGTAGGGAAGGGAAATGGTTTTTTTTTTTTTTTAGAGACAGAGTCTCACTTTATCGCCCTCGGTAGAGTGCTGTAGCGTCACAGCTCACAGCAACCTCCAACTCCTGGGGGGAGATTTTGGAGATTTTCCTGCCTCAGCCGCCTGAATAGCTGAAACTACAGGTGTTCGCCACAACGCCCGGCTATTTTTTTGTTGCAGTTTGGCTGGGGCCGGGTTTGAACCCGCCACCCCCAGTATATGAGGCCAGCACCCTACTCCCTGAGCCACAGGCGCCGCCCCGGGAATGATATTTTAAAAGGAACTCATTAGAAGGAAATGAAATTTAGGAATAAAGAATATGAATGTTGGGGAACAGGTCTCCCTGTTCCCACAGAATAAAATCAGACTTCCTCATCTGGCAACCACAGCTCTATGCTCTGAGCCTGCTTCTTTTGTGAACTTCATCTGCCTCCTTTCCACAAGCACTGAGCTCTTTGCCTTTCCAACAATAGCCCATGTTTTTCCATGCCTCCATGCTTTTTCCAAGTCTTCCTCCCTTCCTGGCTGGGGAGCTCTCAGTCAACCTTCAACTCATCTTCTAATAAAGACAATGACAATAGCTATGTTTTGGGGAGCATTTATTATGTGCAAAGACTATTGCAAGATGGGCTATATCCCATTTCATTCTTACAGGCACCACCCTCACCATCACTTCGTTTATTCTTCAGTGATGGTGCATGACTCTCTGCGTTGGAATTGTGTATTGATGTGTCTGTCTCCCTAGGGCCCTTGTCTCCTTTGGCTACCACAGGGTATGCTTAATATACATTAGTTACTGAATGGGCTAATGAACAGTACACTATACCCAGCTGCCATACCATGATTACACTAACAGAACTCCAACAGGTAATAGGAAACAACTGGCAGTTAGTGATATTCTAAACACCACTAATGCCAGAAAAACCATTGAGTTTCCTTTTAGGAACTCTTCCCAAAGCTATGGACAGAAGACCCCTGCAGTTTGCTATGGATGATTCTTTACAGCGAGAGATGAGGAGACAGTTTAACCAGTGAAAGACTTCTCCCCGTGTCTCCATTGCAAAGCAGAATGCAATCCCAAAGGCTGCCAGACCAGGGCTGGTGCCACCACCACCCTCAAACATCAGGTTCTGAGACCCCTCAAAGTGACACTTATCCTGTCTCTAGATTTTCAAAAGGAGGACCCACCCCTCTAAGACTCACTTGCGGAGCAAGACTTTCTGCATTTCACAGTCTTTCAGGGGACTAATTGCTGGAGATAGAACTTGTTACTAAATATTTTAAAAAATTTCAAGATGTCACTGCTCAAATAATATTGTTATAACATTTGAGAAATTAAAAAAGAAAAAAAACAAGATTCAAAATCCCACCACGTAACCAGCTGTGTCAAGTTTTTCATATTCCTATTTAGGTGTTGTTCACACACAATTTTTATGTAGCTATAATCACAGAACATCACAAATATGTAATTAGTTCTTTCAAACCAGAAAAATTACAAAGGCCTATTTAAGAATTCAAACAGTCCAAAGTGCATTAAAAAACGTGTAGTTTCCCCTCCTGTTTCCCTTGCCAGAGGTAACCACTGTTAACAGTTTGATGAGTGGTTTTGTAGTTGGGGTTTTCTTTCTTTTTGGCCCATCATCAATGCCTTCATACATAGTCCTGATAATTACTGGTTAATGTCACATTAATTGTGTGCACAGTCATCATTTCCTCTGAGTATCCTCCCTTCTTTTTTTTTTTTTGAGACAGAGCCTCAAGCTGTCCCCCTGGGTAGAGTACCGTGGCATTACAGCTCACAGCAACCTCCAACTCCTGGGCTCAAGCGAGTCTCTTGCCTCTGCCTCCCAAGTAGCTGGGACCACAGGCGCCCGCCACAACGCCCGGCTATTTTTTGGTTGCAGCCGTCATTGTTGTTTGGCGGGTCCGGGCTGGGGATTCGAACCCGCCACCTTAGGTGTACGTGGCTGGCGCCTTAGCCAGATGAGCTATAGGCGCCAAGCCAGTATACTCCCTTCTAACTAATCCAGATGAAATCTGATGAGAGAAATTCTAACATATATGTCCAAATTAAATATTGTGTGTTTATTCTGGACATAAAGTGTGATAGCATTTTCCAAACCCCGAGTTCAGCTGTATTAATAGGCAAACTTGTCTAGGTAGAGAAAAGCAGTAGTCCAGAATCTCTTGGTGTAATTCCCCTTAAATAAAAAAATCTCCACAGCCTCTCCCATCTCCATCTTCTGTATGACTTTGCTCAAATTTGTGTTCATATTGTGACTATTGACCCAGACGTGGGCAGGGTCTGAATTGGAGTTACATTTTTTTGCACAATGCCTGGCATGTTCTAGGTGCTCTAATACAGAACGGAGATTAGAGTGACTCTGGAGCAATCATAGCCCCGGTCATGGAAATCTCAGTGCTTTATATATTGACTCATTTCGCTCCCAGTGACCTGTAACCATGGAAATGGAGGGTGCCAGCACTCCTGTGAAGATACAGCTGATGGCCCTGAGTGTAGCTGCCATCCACACTACAGGATGCATGCAGATGGGAGGAGCTGCCTTGGTGAGTGGAGACCCCTATACTGGGTGAGAGTTTGCCCCAAAATGCTCGTCCTTGTTCCTGACCCTTTTTTTCTAAGACTAGTCAAGTGCCGTAGTGAGAAGGGGGGAGAGTAGAACAGAGTTAAATATATAACTGACTTATGAACCTTCAAGTGAGACAACTCACTACCTTGGGACCAGCCCAGAACCCTAACCCTAACCCTTAGTGGTGTTTAGCACCAGATACAGGCTGGTTTGGTGCCTTTGGCCCCAGATAGGCCCTGTGTGGCTTCACATGTTGAGCTGGGATTAGTCTAGGCCTGGGGTGGAGGGCCTTGTCTCCCTGTGCAGCCTTCCTCCTTTCCTGGTCTAGCCTTCTCCTGAAGCTGGTGTTCTGGAGACTGGGACAACCTCCCCAGGGTCCAGGCACAAAGTTAGCCCCAGCTGTTTGTGTTGACACTTTACTGTCAAGAGGACTCAAGGCTGCATATTTCCAGCAGGACACCTGGCCTGCCCTTCATGGTGTGTCCTCTGCTAGTTCCATTTTAGAGGTTTCCAAGCCCAAGGCTCTTTTTGTACTGGACTAAGGGAACTAGATTGAATCTGAGGCTTGCATTCCCCAGTACCTCTCTGAAGTATAATATACTTCCAAAATCTTTTCCATAGTTGATGGTTACTAAGGACCTGTGGCATTCAACTTGCTGTGTTTCCTACAGAGACTCATTACAACACATTTACATTGAGTGAGCAGAGTCACGCATCTTACATTGTTCTCCTGTCTGGGATTTTAGCAGAAATGGTTGTGCAGGGGTTGAATAATTTGACTCATTCAATCTGAGAACTGTGCTATTTTGCTTTTCTTATAGAGCGAGAGGACACTGCCCTGGAGGTGACAGAGACCAATGCCACGTCAGTGGCAGATGGGGATAAGCGGGTGAAGCGACGGCTGCTCATGGGTAGGCACCTCCACTGCCCTTCTCTGGCTGCTGCCCTTGTCCCTTCCCTCCCCAACTTTCTGCATCAGGCCTGAACCTGGGGGTCACATGCCCCCAGATCAGCTGGACCGGTGAGCAGTTCCTGCAAACCTAGGGCGTGTGTCTTTGCTTCACCCACTGCTGCTGTTTAATCACCACCCAAGGCCCCAGTATTGTGGGGAGTACAGTGGCCAAACCATCACAATTGGATTAATGTCCTCACACAGCCACAACTTCCTATAAGGGCTTCACAGACTGCCCTGAGTCTCCATCTCTTGGTCTTTCTTTAAAGTTGATATAATAATCTACCTCTTAGGGCTATCAGGATGCTGCATTAAGATGATGATATGCCAAAGTGCACTGAGTCCAGGGCCTGGGACTAAAGGGCAGGTCAGTGAATGTTAGTTCCCTTCCTTCTGAGTAGCTGGAATGAGAGAGGACTTGGGCAGTCTCTTGCTCAGAACGGTGGCTGATCTGTTTTATGTCCACTGTGTCTTCTGTTCCTGACTCAGCTGTGTTTATGGTAGAAGAGATGAGTGGCACTTGGCTGGGGGACGAGGGAAGGTGGCAGATGAGATGGAGATGAGAAGCAGGGGTGGTAGCTGTGGGGGTGGGAGTCAGACAGACCCCTTGGCACATTACTCTTCTGGAGAAAGGTTGGCTCCACATAAATCAGACAGCTTCCGGCTTTAATAGTTAGGTGAGATAACTGGTTACCAGCTGTTGGTTACCAAGCAGGTTAACATTTTAATTCTTCTAGTCTGTTCTTCTAACTCCTCCTCCCCATGTGTCTGAAAAGTGAAGTCTATACAGTTATCTCTTGATGTGTCAGTTTTGGGGGGTTTTTTGGCTGGGGCTGGGTTTGAACCCACCACCTCCAGCATATGGGGCCGGCGCCCTACTCCTTTGAGCCACAGGCATTGCCCTTGATGTGTCAGTTTTTGATAGTGGCTTTTATCTTTCTGCTGCAGAAGACCAAGTTTTAACTCTCACTACTCCCAACCCCCCAGTGAGTGTACACAAACACACACGCGCACACACACTCCTACCCTCTCTCCCGAACCCTTAATATAGTCATATCACAATTTAAATCAATATTATGTGCTTATATCATAGCAACTATGAATATATAAATATGATTCACCTGAGTTATATAATGGGTCAGGATTTTATTTTCTGCATTTAGTTTTCTAAGTACCTCTTACCAATTCTTTTGCAAATTTCCAGTAGAGCTCTGAAACTCTTTTCAGTGTGTTCAAATGTAGCAGTAACTTAACTAAAGAAGAGAATTCAGTTTTCTTCTTTAGAAAGTCCTCTTCAGAGACTTCCACCCTGCTACAGCTCTTGGCCACCTGCATCTCTCTTCTCTGGACCTTTCCCATCAGCCTAAAAATTCCTTTCACCATTCTTCTCTTTAGTGGACCTCCCCCAAAGAAAGTGAGGGTTTTACTTTATATAGTGAATAAGGTAGATGTAGGTTTTCAAAAACTTTGGATGCTGAAAATGCCTCTATATGCATATTCTGCCTTCACTCTTTATGGAGAATTTGGCTCAGGATAGAATTCAGAATTGGGAAAAACATTCCTCCAGAGTTTTAAAGTTAGCGCTCCACTGTTTCCAAGCATGCAGTGTTGTTTTGAGAAGCCTAAAGTCATTTTTATTCTTGATTCTTTGTATAAAACCTGTAAAACATTCTCAGGATCTTCTCCTTGTCCCTAGTGATCTGAAATTTCACAATAACGTCCCTTACTGTGAGGCTCTGGCCACCTGTTGTGCCGAGTACTCGGTAGTCCTTTTCAGTGTCAGACATTCAAGTCCCTTGGTGCTGAGACATTGTCTTACATTTTTTCCTTTGATAAATTTCTTTACTCCATTTTCTCTGTTGTTTCCCTGTGGAATTCCTATCAGTTGGTTGTTGTAACTCCTAAATTAAGCCTCTATTTTTTTCCTCTTTTCTCTTCTTTGTGTTTTTGTTCTACTTTCTGGGAGATTTTTCATTTTTTATTCCCTACTCTTTCTACAGGATTCTTTGTAAAGTTCTGCTTTCATATTTTGATAATTCAAGAATTTTAGTTTGGTCTAAATTTAGTTGTTATAGGAACCTGTCTTATTTGATGGATTCTTTTCTTATCTCCTTGAGGAAGTTAATTATAAAATTTTGGTGGCTTATGCCAGTAATCCTAGCACTCAGGGAGGCTGAGGCAGGTGGATTGCGTGAGCTTAGGCGTTCAAGACCAGCCTGAGCAAGAGTGAGACCCTGTCTCTACTAAAAATAGAAAAAAACCAACTGGGCATTGTGGCAGGTGCCTATAGTCTCAGCTACTCTAGAGGCTGAGGCAAGAGGATTGCTCAAGCCTAAGACTTTGAGGTTCCTGTGAGCTATGATGCCACAGCACTCTAGCTTGGGCAACAGAGGGAGACTCTGTCTCAAAACAAAAACAAAAGCAAAAACCAACTCTTGAATATATTACTGGAATATATAGTAATATGTATAAAAATAAGCTCTTTTAACGAAAGATTTTAACTTCTTTTATATTTAAAAAAATCGATTTGCTCTTATTTGGTGAGGTTTTGAAAGGAAACATAAACACATATGTTCTCTCTGTCATACTGAATTAGAATGAGGCTTGACCCTCGCCTCTCCCCAGGCTACCTAAAATGAGGAAGCTATAGAAGAAAAAAATCATGTTTCTGGATACCTAAGTTCTTGCAGTTGAATGAATATTAACTAGCACTTGTTTGTTACTTGGAATAACTACATGAAATTCAGAACTTAAAGGCCATTTGCTTATTATTCCTCATTTTCATAGTTGTGATTTAACAATTTTGACTTATTTCTCATGTGGTTGTGATAGGTCTTTCTCCTTTCAGGAAAAGTTAAACTTCTAATTTGAGTAAACTGACAATTGTAAAGATGAAATCATTGCACCAAGGGAATGGTTGGGGGTGGGCAACATTTACCTTGTTGCTTTGCCCATTACTCACATTCAGAGGAGAAGGTCTAGGATTATGAAGGGAACATTCTCTCTTTTTACCCTGTTCTGCACTCACATCTTGCCTGCCGGATATGGTCATACTTAGCAGGTTGGGGCTTGGGATCAGGAGGCACTTTTAATGGCTTTGATTCCACTTCCACTAGTAGGGGGACAGCTCCACAATCTGAGAGACAACTTTCACCCTTTTTCTTGACAAGCTTCCGCAGAAAATATTACTCATTCAGACTTGTGGAAGAGGCCTCTCCTGATCTCCCTCTATCCCACCTGCCGGTGGCAGAGACTCAGGGTGTGATCATGAGTACCCCATTGTGCTTCCTGGCTTCCATGAAAATAATGGCAAATACTAACAGTTGCACCTGCACTTCTTTAGGACGCTAACTGCCTTTTTTTTTTTTTACCTCCTTGTTAGAAACATGTGCTGTCAACAATGGAGGCTGTGATCGCACCTGTAAGGATACTTCAACAGGGGTTCACTGCAGTTGTCCCATCGGGTTCACTCTCCAGTTGGATGGGAAGACGTGTAAAGGTAGCCTTCACCCCATCAGGAAGGTTGGGTGTCCTGGCATGGAGGAAACCCCCATGCTGCTAATGTGTGTGGATCAAGGCAACTCTTTCCCCTCCCTACCCCAAGTGACTCCAGATTTGCTTATGATTCATATTGATGGAAGCTTTTCTTCCTTGGGCTAGTGGAAGGTTATAATTGAGTAAGCTTAATTAGAACCAACTTAATTACACTAATTGTTGAGGAGGTCAGCCTCTACAAGCATCAAATAATTCATTTCAGACAGTGGCCTTATTAGAAAAAAGGCAGTTCAAGGAAGCATTCATTTGCAGGAGATAATATCAACATATCATAAATAATAGCCTGGAGATTATTATGTAAAAAACAGTCAAGATTATTATCCAAAGAACTTAATGAATAACTGTACCATTAACTTTTACTGATGAAGAGAGACACCAATGACTTACTGGTAGTTCATGGGCAAGAGTACAAAAGATGAGTTCTTTAGCATGATAAAAAGTAGTTAACCAATTACCAGACGAAACTGAGAAAAGATAAGATTGAGTATCAGGAATCATTTAAAAAGACTGAGGCTATTTGATCATTGTATAATTTGCCAAAACAAATGCTCCAGTCCCTTATGGCTTTCATCATTAAACCGGGCTAGATAATATATTAAAGGGAGCCATGTTATCTTGAGAGAGCAGTACAAGGATGAGAATATTATAGGACCTCACCATTCTTTCCCATAGTTTGTTTTCTTAACGCTAATCAAGGGCATCATAAGTCAAAGTTCTCAAGAGGACAAGGCACTTGTCTTTCAAAACTGGTTAAGCCAGACAAGAAAACATGTGTAACATTAAAAACATCAGCAAGAATTCTTTTTTTTTTTTTTTTTTTGAGACAGAGCCTCAAGCTGTCCCCCTGGGCAGAGTGCCGTGGCATTACAGCTCACAGCAACCTCCAACTCCTGGGCTCAAGCGAGTCTCCTGCCTCAGCCTCCCAAGTAGCTGGGACCACAGGCGCCCGCCACAACGCCCGGCTATGTTTTGGTTGCAGCCGTCATTGTTGTTTGGCGGGTCCGGGCTGGGGATTTGAACCCGCCACCTTAGGTGTACGTGGCTGGCGCCTTAGCCGGCTGAGCTATAGGCGCCGAGCCATCAGCAAGAATTCTTAAATGCTTTTATGGGTCTGTTTTCATTTCAGAGAATAATGAACACACATAATAGCACTTCAGGGATTTGTGGGAAATGAGGCAAGTATTGCTCTCTGATTTGCCGATGCTTGCCTGTTACAGATATTGATGAGTGCCAGACCCGCAATGGAGGTTGCGATCATTTCTGCAAAAACACCGTGGGCAGTTTTGACTGCAGCTGCAAAAAAGGATTTAAATTATTAACAGATGAGAAGTCTTGCCAAGGTATGTGCTAAAAGTGTGGCTGTGCTGCCATGGCCCGACGGTTGGAGCAGAGGACATGTAACTCCACCCTGGCAGAGACTGGCTCGCCAAGCCTGATGAAGCCATTAATCCAACCTCCATCCCAGCCTTCACTTCTTTCATCTGTTAGGTAGAATGAAAACACTGATGTAGCTTGCAGTACACTCATGTAAACTTCATCAGTACACTGATATAAACATTTTGGAAATTAAACTGTTGATGATTAGAAAATACCTCAAAGAACCCATCTGGTATGATTTCAGCAGCTTGCTTTTAGAATTGGACCAGAATGCAGAATGCAAGCAGAGTTGAAGTAGGGTGTTGACATTGGACATAATTCCCCCCCCCCTTTTTTTTTTGAGACAAAGCCTCAAGTTATCCCCCTGGGTAGAGTGCCGTGGCATCACAGCTCACAGCAACCTCCAACTCTTGGGCTCAAGCGAGTCTACTGCCTTAGCCTCCCAAGTAGCTGGGACCACAGGCGCCCACCACAATGCCTGGCTATTTTTTGGTTGCATCTGTCATTGTTGTTTTGGTGGGCCCAGGCTGGATTCGAACCTGCCACCTTAGGTGTATGTGGCTGGTGCCTTAGCCACTTGAGCCACAGGTGCCGAGCCTAATTGCCCCTTTCTAATATTTCCTTTAATGTTACTGAATTTATAACAAAGATTATAAATTGAAAGCAAAAATGAATAGGTTTAGTTAATATGCCTTCCTTGCAAAAAGTTGAGGTCAGTACATAATTAAAATCATTTGTCAGTTGTTCTCTTCCTTGTAGACCTTGTTTTATATGAGCAGCCGAGAGGAAAGAGATGCTGGTTAATCCTTAGGCAGGATGACACACCCCTTCTTGAATGAATCTGTCCCATACAAGGGGTGCAGCAAGGGGACTTTCCTGGTAGCTGTTGTTGGTATTAATAACTGTTTGGGGTGGTAGGAAGCTGTTTTGAGTGGGAAGCATCATTAATTATTTTTAGATGACCACCTTTTATGTTCTATTGATGTGCAGGAAGAAGCTCTCAGGGAAGATGTGCTCTCATTTAATCTGGCTTCATTTGTGTGAATAAACAAGGACCACCTAACTTACCTTGTCAGGAATCTAAGAATTAAATCAAAATCAAAATATAGTGTCTGATTCCACTTCAGATAAGAAAGATGTAAAAGTATCTTTTTCAAACTTTATGACATGAAGTAGGTTTTTCTTCTTTCTTGGTTTTTGCTTCTCAATGCATAATTTGTCAGGAAGTATGAGTATATTCTCCTTTAAATGCAGTAAGTTAATTCTAGATGATTATAGTGTGGAAATAATAATTTCTTCAGTTTGACTTGGAAAGCACATTTGCTGTTCCACATAATGTTTCATAATGTATAGAACAAGCAAGACTGTTTAAGCTGTGTAAACACATTAAAAAGGAATTAGGAAAGTGATCTCATTATTTTTGGCAAAGCAAAAACCCATAGTGAACAGCCAAAGTCAGCTACTGAACAAGTCCACTTTCTCGACAACTGGCTGATATCAATAACAGATTTCATAGAATGGCATCAATTACCAGGGAAAAAAAGTGAGTTTCTCTCATTTCTCACTGATCAGTCTTGGTAGAACAAATATTTGCACAGAACAGATTTATTGAAGAAATTACCAGGATTTCTGGGAAAAGCTAAGGATGAAGAGGTTTTACAAGAATTTGCCCTTTTTTATTTCACTTTTTCATTCTTCCTGCTCTTTCCAAATGTTTGTTTTTTATTAATGTCATGTCACATGGCACATTTAGTGTTGAAAACGTGGTCTAGCAATGGTCTAGTTGGCATCTCCTGAGTGCTGCATGGGCTTATCCAGTTGGAGTCACAAGTCATAACTCTGTTAAAACCCTTCCAGGTTGAGAGAGTGAAACACGAACACTCTATGTAGAGGAACGATGTGAGGGCCAGGCAAAGGAGATGGTGAGATAGACAAGTACAGCCTCCTGAGGCTACTTTGCATGACCCCAGCGGCAGCCCAGCCGAGGTGGACTTCACACTGAACCACGTGGGATGGATCATGGGGGAGGAACAAGACCAAGGGATTGGTCGAGAGGATCCAGTTCAGAGCTTACCCACCACATTTCAGTGTCTGCAATAGAAAACTACAGAGGATATTGGCACTAGTGCATTCTTTTAGGGGCAAAGGGCGTTAAACCCCAGGATTAACTGGCCTCCTGGGGCGAGAAGGCTAATATTGGAAAGATCAGAGAGAGATGGGAACCAGATTTACCTCCAAACCAAGTATTTTCTTCTTTCAATTCAGCTCACACGTTACTACTGATATTTTACCAATAGCTATATGGCAATAACAATAATGCATATCTACCACTTTATAGTTTAAAAAATTCTTTTTAGGTATGTTATTTCCTTTGGCTCCATTTAAATATTTTTTTTTCCACTTAAATATTTTAAATTACTTAACCCTGCAAATAAACATGGGTAAGAGAGACCAATTGAGCTTTGGGGCAAGTGTAGTTTGTAACAGAGTGGAAATAAGGGCCCTGGCAGTGACTGTACTTATGTTGGGCTGCTCAACACTTTCTTTAGAGCAGGGAGCAAGGACATTGGATGAATCATTTTTTCACCCTACGTGTGTCATTCTTGGTGTTAGTCAGCAGATAGTGTTTATTATAAACTTATTCTTCACTTATCCCTCTGAATGGGTTTCAGCTCCCTCTCCCTTTGACAATTACAGATGTGGATGAGTGCTCTTTGGATAGGACCTGTGACCACAGCTGCATCAACCACCCTGGCACTTTTGCTTGTGCTTGCAACCAAGGGTATACCCTGTACGGCTTCACCCACTGTGGAGGTGAGCAGACAGCCCCTCTAGAGTCGGGAGGTGGGGTCTGCAGGGCCTCCACCCCTGAGGCTTATTTCCCGACATCAGGGAATGAAAGGTACATTCTAGTCCCCTGTATAACAGCAGTGAGCCCATCAACTTGAGAGAAGCATCTGCTGAAAGAAATCTCCCCAGAGCTATCCCTTTCGCATGTTGAAAGTGAAATGTAGCAGAGAGAAGAGCTGAGTTCTTCAGCTGTGGATTCTTTTTTAACTTCATTGACTTGTGGTTGTATTCGGAGGACAGGAGAGTCTCTCAAGAGCTGCTACTCTGCCGGAACGTCCCAGCAGATAGCAAAGTTCTAGTCCTCAGAGAGGCTTGGTGGGACATCAACCAATACCACAGCCCTGCCATGCATAGCAATTGGCTACAAAGCCTTGGTTTATGCCCCATTAGGTCTTTCAGCTGGAAGTAGAACCAATGAGTCAGTAACCCCACTCTGCCCATTTAGTAACATGTTCTCCTGTCTCATAACCTCATGGTCTAACAGGGGATGGCATAAAATCGGGTTTGGTACCAACAGAGTCCCACTTCCCTCCCCCCACAATCTTTGAAAATACAGGTTCAGATTCTAATCCAGAATGTCTGGAGCTTCCGATGTGATATAAAGTGTGGCCCCTTCTGAGTGTCCTCAATGAGGGAATGGTTTGGTCAACAGTGAAACCTGAGATGGCCCTGGTGAGGCTCATGCCAGGAAATTCACTGAGTGGGTGGTAGGGTGTGGAGTCAGTGGGTGCCAAGTGCATGTCCTGAAGACCATCAGCACCTTCCCTTTGCCTAGTGAGTTTCAACCACGTGATTCCCCTGTGGCTCCTTCCTCAACGGAAGGACAGTATCAGCCCATTAAGTGACAGGCTGCTGTGACAAGAGACTGTTTTTTGTTCTACAGACACCAACGAGTGCAGTGTCAACAACGGAGGCTGTCAGCAAATCTGTGTGAACATGGTGGGCAGCTATGAATGCCAATGCCACCCCGGGTACAAGCTCCACTGGAATAAAAAAGACTGTGTGGGTAAGGGGCACCGAGGCGCAGACCCACCTGGTAGGGTGCACCACTGGCCCAGAGGCGGCATGGCTCTGTGTGTGCTCCCAGGTCCACGTGGCCCAGGAGTGCGACTGACCATCCCTCCCTGAATTCTTCTCCCCCCAGCTGCAGCAGCTGTTCTTTAAATAGTTCAAAAACAGGAGATACTTTGCAGACTCTTTGATGTTTCCTTCTGTGCTTATGTGTACGTTGGAACTTAACTTCTGTTTTCCTAGTTGCTTTTCTGCATTTAAGGAAAAGGCAAACAAGGGGCTTCTTTGGTGGGAAATGAGGCTGGGTGTGTGTTCTGTGCAGGGCATCAGCTATACCTTTTATTCTTGGGGTCTTTGGTGCATGGGACTCAACTGTCCTTGCCACACTTAGATTCATCCTTCTCTTCCTGTAAGTATCTGTGTTTTGTCCTGTTTAGAAGTGAAGGGGCTCCTGCCCACTAGTGTGTCACCCCACGTATCCCTGCACTGCAGTAAGAGTGGTGGAGGAGACAGGTGCTTCCTAAGATGTCACTCTGGCATTCACCTCTCTTCAGGTGAGTGGGTCCCAGTCCCCAGCACAGGTCCTCACCAGGGCCAGGCCTCCTGGGCCTCTAGGTGTTAGATTCCCTTAGAGGGCTCCCAAGTCCTCAACCAGGTGACCCCTGATCACCATGCTTTGAGACCCCATATGCTGGGCAGTTTTCTAGTGGCTCATGTGGAGTGGGGATGGGGGTGATTATCTGCTACCTGGATAGCCTGTAACCTCACTTACATGTTTGACATCATGTTCTGTCTGTCAGGACTGCAAGAGGCCTACTCTGTCACCTGCGGCTCTTCTCCTGCTCTCAGGAGCAAACAGCAAAAATCAAATGACTCTACTTTTGGGGGTAATTACCAAATCTGTGTGTTCTCTGGGGCTCACTGTGTTTGATGGGCTTCATTCATGGGGTGATATTTTTGGATGTTGGTTTTATTTTCTTTTCTCTTAATCTCAGTGCTGTGAGCATGTTACAGAGTGTTCTTGCCTGTGGCCCTGGTGCCTAAAATCTGACTCACCCACATAACAGATACTTACTGAGCATCCACTGCATGCTAGGAAGAACTATGGCCAGCCCTTGTGGGTCATTATATTGGACAGAGGCCCACAGAGCTCTAGGACCAGGACACTCAGGTCTCCCAAACTCCCTGTCTGGTGCACATGGTGTGGGTGGGAGTAGGCCTGGCTGAACAAGGGCAGCAGGATTCTGTCCAAGAAAGGGGCACAAACCATTTCCTGTTTATCAAAAGATGAAGTATGAAATTCAAAGTTTTCAGGAGGCCTTTCCCTCCTAGATGTAGACACCTTTGTCATTATGTCATGAGAACATCTGAATGAGGTTCATATTATATCTGGATATCCATCATGTTATATGAGCAAAGCCGGAGACCCAAATCAAAACAATCACAGCTTGCAAGTACTAATTGAGCCACTTGTATATGCCAGCTACCATATTACATGTATTAGCTGACTTAAGCCACATGACAACCCTCTGGGGCAATTGTACTATTATCCACATTAACATGGAGAAACTGAGGCTCAGAGAGGTGAAATAACTTACCCAAAGTGACTCTGATAAGAAATAGCAGACCCAGGATTTGAAGCCAGGCAGTCTGGGTCCAGAGCCTTAAGCACGTTTCACTAACCTTTTTGTCACATGTTTGGGACTCAGCCAGAGCAGACAACACAGTCCATTTCACAGCATCCCTCAGTGATGATTCCATGGTGATTTAAGCCACCCCAAGGGTGGGCAAGCAAATAGCTAACAGTTATTCAGTTCTTACTGTGCCCCAGGCTGTGGGCTAAACATTTTTCTTTGTGTATGTGTATTATCTCATTTAATCCTTACCATAGTCTGGTTAATGTAGGTACTGTAATTATGTCTATTTTATAGATGAGGAAACTGAGGATTAGGGAAATTAGCTCATCAAGTTCTTACCACAAATCGAAGAGCTATAATTTGAATCCAGGCCATTGACCCCCAAACCTGACTGACATATGGTTAAGATTGACCCTAGAAAGAGAACAGAATTTTGCACATCAGGCCCTCCCAGAGTGGGAACTTCGCTTCTTCCCAGACCCTGGAAAGCCTGGCCACATATAGTGAGTGTCGTGTTTGTCTGGAATGGCAGCTGCCCCTGCCCTGTTCTCTCAGGATAGGCTTGTTTAGGAGCATCCGCCCTTCACCATTTCCCTCAATAATCCCATCCAAATTCGAACCACGGCATTCTGGCCTTCTTTCTCAGGAAGGCCCCCAAATGACCTCATTCTTCATCTCACAGTTGAGGCTATTTTTGACCCTCTCTTTGTTACATTTCCACACTGGATTTTTCACTCACGTGAGGGGAAAAGTGTAATTCTTAGGAGGCTCCTTGTCCCCCTTCCAGGGTGATGGGCACTCTGTGATCTTAACCTTTCTTGGTCTCAGGATAAGAGAGGGACTGGTGTGTAGCAGCGTGTGGTGGGAGCCGGCCAGCAGGTAGCTTGCTGTGGTTACCCTCCCAGCGTTTGCATTCCTTTGACGCTGAAGGTAACATCTCTTACTTGTTTCTTTCTGAAGATGTCACCACCGTCAGGACAAGTGTAACCTTTAAGCTAAATGAAGGAAAGTGTAGTTTGAAAAAGGCTGAGCTGTTTCCCGAGGGTCTGCGACCAGCACTACCAGGTATGGACTCAGATGGCTGGTGCAGGGTGCTTGGATGCATGTTAGGCCTCTGCAGGCCTGCGGGGGTGGCCAGGGGCTGTCCCACTGACCAGGTGTGCTGCAGTTGGGATTGAGCCATTCAGAACCTCCAGGGACTCTCATCCTAGGCTAGCACCCTTGTGTAGTTTTAGGGTTATATGTCCAGGCTTCCTTTGAGAGGTACAGTTGGTGAGACCCTAGGGAAATCTGTGAGTTCATAGGAGTCAATAAGGGCTTAAGATGAATTAGCACTTTGTGATCAGATTGGGTTAAGTTTTCTAGATCTTTGGGTTTGCTTGAGTATAAGCCAAAGAAATTAAAAAAGGCTTGGCTCAGAAGGGATAACTTTGATGAACAAAGATGTAATATCCAGCTTTCCTGCTGGGTCAGTTTTTGGAAGCAGTGACTCCACTGGCTTCAGCAGACCAAATACTGTCCAAGTAGAACTGGCCTTTCTGAAAAGAGCAGACTGCAACACTCCTCCTCCTCCCCAGCTCACATGCCCAGTGTTATTTCATAGAAGACTTCTGGAGATTATTTAAAAAGGAAGATCAAGATTTGTCTGTTAGGGGGGCTTGTTTCCTCATCTACCCTCAAATATATCATGCAAACATAAAGCTCACTCTAGTCACTTTGGCTGTTTTAAGTAAATTGTAACTTGATTCAATAACTTGATCTTCCATCGGAGGGAATATTAGGAAGCTATTCATTATATATTTTCAAAGAATGTGTAATGACATAGGAAAACGTGATTGTTATGATGCTGAGATAGAAAAAAGGAAAGAAACATTTTGTATATCTAATACAATCCAAATTATGTAAGAAAAGCTATGGTAGAATTAAAAAAAGAAAATTCTCCATATCATCAGTACTGGCTACATCTGGGTAGGAGGATAATGGGTAATTTTAAATTTTGAAACAGAGACCAGTTGATCGTGTGAATGCCATGCGGACCTGCTCCTTGGTTAGGGTTAACAATCATTAGTTAGCAGATTCACTGGAAACCACAGGGAGAGGGGACGACAGCCAAAGTCAGGAACAGGGAATGTGCAAAGCCCTGTCTTATGCAACACTTGCATTTTTGTCCTAGACGCCCTTGTGATAGTGTTCGGTTCCGTTGATTCTTTGTGCCGTTTATTGCTCCTGGTTATTTAAAAATGAGACATCACTGTTGATGTGCTTTCCAGCTTTTCCTCAGGTTTGAATTATTCCCAGGTCAGTTTGCCTGAAAGCAGCAGTTGGCTCCCTTTCTACTCTGGGGCTTATTCCTTATTTGAAGCCTCCATCCATGTTCAGTACATTATAGTCCAGCCTTGAGAAAATTGACCATGAGAACAGGAGGGCACCTTAGCAAAACCACCGCAAAGAATGCAAAACGGCCCTTGGTTCTGGCGTGTGGCTAGTCGGTCAGGAACATGCAGCATTTATCCATGAAAAGAATGTTCAAGAGCTAGAACAGTCGTGTTATACAGGAGGCAAAACTAGTGCTTCAAAGTTAAAATGTCATCATGCTCCAAGCTGAGGGCTTGCAATGTCTTGGCATCTGGAATTAATCATTTGGTCCCTTGAGAGTTGTTTTAATGAAATGTTTACTGAGCTCTAGCGAATGTTCAACTGAGTGCATTGCCAGGATTTGGCTTCCGATAATTTTGTTTCTTCATACAGAGAAGCACAGTTCAGTAAAAGAGAGCTTCCGCTACGCAAACCTTACATGCAGCCCCGGCAAGCAAGTCCCAGGAGCCCCTGGCCGACCAAGCGCCCCTAAGGAAATGTTTGTCACTGTTGAGTTTGAGCTTGAAACTAACCAAAAGGAGGTAACAGGTTGGTTTGAAAACAGTCTACTGTTGCCAGGCTTCTCACAGCTTGCTCTTTATTTCTTTGCTTTTCACTTTTTATCATTCTTAGGGGAAAAAAAATAGTACAAACACTGAAGTATCTCCTGTTTTTTTTCTTTTTCACCCCCCAACCTAAACTGAATTGGTTTGGAACCTCGTGATTTTCTCTGCTCCATAAAAACCCAAAGCTACCATTTTGGTCGACAAATTTCTATTTGAGTCAAATGCTGCCAGGCCTGCCAGGTGCCCACCTCCAGGTCTCTCCCCATTTGGACCCCAGGGGAACTCGGGTGTTGGTGGGCCCTGGGCTGGTCTGGCCATCATCACACCCTCTAGCCTGTCCTCCTCCCACACTGCTATCCTTCTTGTTTCTTTAGCTTCTTGTGACCTAAGCTGCATTGTAAAACGGACAGAGAAGCGGCTCCGGAAAGCCATCCGCACACTCCGGAAGGCTGCCCACAGGGAGCAGTTTCACCTCCAGCTGTCAGGCGTGGACCTTGACGTGGCTAAAAAGCCTCCCAGAACATCTGAACGGCAGCCAGAGCCCTGTGGAGCAGGCCAGGGTCACATAGAAAACCAGTGCGGTGAGTGGCCTAGGACATTCTTGTTAACAGCATTGCCTTGGGCTCTATGAACACTCAGGGTAACAAAAGCAAGTCTGGCCCATCTTCCCTTCTCCAGACTCACTCCAGAGAACACTCTGGACAGCCCTTCTTGCAAAGTACCTGTCATGTTGGTGTGTGTCGCATCTGCTAGACCTAGAGCTCCCGGGGGCCAAGATGGATCTCGTTCACCTCTCTGTCCTCAGCATCTGGCATAGGGCCTGGCTTGTGGGGGAAACTGAAATGAATGTTTGTTGAATTGAGGGACAGGCAGGAAGAAGCAGGGCTGATAAGAAGAACTGTAACCCGGCTCGGCGCCTATAGCTCAACCGGCTAAGGCGCCAGCCACGTACACCTAAGGTGGCGGGTTCGAATCCCCAGCCCGGACCGCCAAACAACGACGGCTACAACCAAAAAATAGCCGGGCATTGTGGCGGGCGCCTGTGGTCCCAGCTACTTGGGAGGCAGAGGCAGGAGACTCGCTTGAGCCCAGGAGTTGGAGGTTGCTGTGAGCTGTAAAGCCACGGCACTCTACCCAGGGGGACAGCTTGAGGCTCTGTCTCAAAAAAAAAAAAAAAAAAAAAGAACTGTAACCCCATAAGGGCCTGAGGGATGGCGGTTTCAAGTACTGTGTTCCCTGGCTGGAGTAGGACTGGAGGCAGAAGGCACCGATGAGCCTTCTCCACACTCCATCATCCCAGTTCATCTCTGGGCTGACCAATGGTGGCAATGAATAACCCCCCACCTTCAGTTTTGTGCAGAGGCAAAGCTAAGGGGCTACTCAGCTTACTTGTGAGAGCCCTGAGCATCAGCCAGGCCCCAAGTGGCATCGGTTCCACTGCATGTTGTCATTGTCGGTGTGTGTTTCAGAATTAAATCTAAGATCTGGCGCTTGAGCAATATCTATTCTGTCCCTCTGATAAAGCTGGCAAGAGATTTCAAGGCAATAGGTTCTGGGTTTGTCATGAGAGACCGTTCAGGGTAATAATGGGAGAATGTATCTGAAAAGACTTTAGATAGGGAAATTGGGTCTCACTTTATGGTAATAATAATAAAGATTTATTGAGTTCTTAATCTGTCACAGCTTAACACTAAGATCTGTACCTGTATTTTCACATTTAATGCTAACAGTACCCTTACCCACTTGTCTCCATTTAATAGATGATCAAACTGAAGCTTATAGGGCTGTGTCCTCTTGCTCAAGATCACATTGATGGTCTGATTCCAAAGTCTGTGCTCAGGTCCCAAGTAAGGTGAATTTCAGTAAGCAGACCCCTCCAGAGTAAACCGATGGCCTTCCTGAAGTTTTGGGAGAATCACAAGGCTTGAGAAATGAAACTTAATATGGGAGTAAAAATTAGTGTTTCTGAATAAGCAAAGCTGAACCAAGAGGCCCTTGATCAAGAAAATTGTCAGCAGTAGCCCCACAGTGCGAATCCGTTGCTTTGCCAAAACCTAGTGAAAATCAAGTGTAATTGTCCACAAGGGGCTTGTTTCCAGATAGTCTTGACTTTTATTCCAGTTGATTCTCTTAAAAAGAAACAAAGAAAAAAAATTAAAAACAACTCAGCTGGTTGATTTGTTCTCATTTAAAATTCTGAGAGTTCCAGTTTCCATACCAAAATAGTGGTGAGAGTTGGCTCTTGCTGCCCTACTTCCCGCGGTGAGTTGAAGAAACTGTCAGGGCAGGCAGGCTTGTCCTCCTGGCCTCACAGAGCTAAATCACACCCCGCCTCCATTTGCTGTGCTGTTGGGATGAGGCCTGGAGGCACCAGCAAGTCTTTGTGGCCTCTGAAGAAAGCAGGAAAATCTAGGGTTAAGGGCCCTGTGGACTAGCAGCCAGGCAGAGTATTACCAATACTACCATGAGTATGCTTCTAGGGGAAAAAGGCCCAAGGATAAGGAGCAGGAGTTACTTAATAGAGGCCTAGTGGCTCGGCGCCTATAGCTCAACCGGCTAAGGCGCCAGCCACGTACACCTAAGGTGGCGGGTTCGAATCCCCAGCCCGGACCCGCCAAACAACAATGACGGCTGCAACCAAAAATAGCCGGGCGTTGTGGCGGGCACCTGTGGTCCCAGCTACTTGGGAGGCGGAGGCAGGAGACTTGCTTAAGCCCAGGAGTTGGAGGTTGCTGTGAGCTGTAATGCCACGGCACTCTACCCAGGGGGACAGCTTGAGGCTCTGTCTCAAAAAAAAAAAAAAAAAAAATAGAGGCCTAGTGACGGTGACAAGCTGGGAAGGACACTCAGTAGAGGGTTTATGTAGCTGTTGTGGTGTGTCAGTGTGTCCCTGAGATGTTTGTCAAGCTAAATTAGGTTGGATTTGTTCCTAAGGGAGGCAGTATCCCCTTGTCTCCAGAGCTCCCTCTAATACTGGATGAATGCTATAGCCCACATGAAAGCAAATCAGATCCGCCCTGTCTGAAATGTTGAAGATTTTACCATGTGAAGAAAACAACACAAGAGATTACCAGTGCCATGCCCCTGCTGGAGGGAGAGGGAGGTATAAAAAAGGGTCAGGTGTGTTCATGAGAAAGGCTTTTTCTTCAGCAAACACATGGCATGGGCAAGTCTTAGACTGTGTATGGGGAGGGGGCTTGTATTTTTGTTTTATTTGATGGTGTTAGAAGTAGGCTCACTAGTATATTCTGAACTCTGGATAGTACTTACAGTAGAGACAAGCATAGGACAGTTCTTTTTGGAAATTATTTTCAATGACTGCTGAAAGAAGCCTTATAAAAGTAAAGTCATCTTTTTTTTTTTTGAGACAGAGTTTCACTGTGTTGCCCTCAGTAGAGTGCTGTAGTATCATAGCTCATAGCAACCTCCAACTCTTGGGCTTAAGCCTCCCAAATAGCTGGGACTACAGGCACCCGCCACAACACCTGGCTATTGTTTTGTTGCAGCTGCCCAGGGCTGGGTTCGCCTACCAGCCTCGGTGTATGTGGCCGGGGCCCTACCCACTGAGCTATGGGCATCACCCCAAAATAAAGGTATCTTAAAGGAGAGATGGAACCGTTGTGGTTTTTGGGTTTTTTGGGTTTTTTTTGAGAAAAGGTCTTTCATTGTCTTCCAAGCTAGAGTGTAGTAGTGTCATCATAGCTCACTGCAACCTCAAACTTAACCCAGAGGCTTAATCAATCCTGCCTCAGCCTCCCAAGTAGCTGGGACTACAGTAGTATACTGAATTGCCCAGCAAATTTTTTCTATTTTAGTAGAGATGCAGTCTCATTCTTGCTCAGGCTAGTCTTGAACTTCTGGTCTCAAGTAATCCTCCAGCCTGCACTTCCCAAAGTGCTAGGATTATGGTCTTATCTTTTAAAATGTTTTTAATTTGCTTTTTAATTACCAAAGTATAATAGTGCATATTTCAAATAGTATAGAAACATACACGGTAAAAATCAAAGTTCTCCCCATAGCTCACTAATCTCACTCTATGGCAGCTATCACTGTTCTAACTTGCTGTATATTTTTCCACATTGGTTTTTATGCACATATAAAAATTAAATTTTATTTATTTAATAAATATTTGTTGAGCACCCGCTGTGTGCCAGGTACCATTGTAGATACTGGGAATCCAGCACGAACCAAATAAGCAAAAATTTCAGCCATCACTAAATTTATAAATTGCAGAGGAAGAAGATGGATAAGCAACCAATGAACGAAGAAATTCTGTGTCATGTGGCAGATGGTGACAAAGCTCTGGAGAACAGGACAGCAGGGAAGTAGAATAGAGAGTGCCAGGGCAAGGTGAGGGGTGAGAGGTGAGGAGAAGCATGCTCCCCTAGATGTACACTGTGGTCAGGAAAGGCCTCAGTGCAAATTGTCTTTTGGGCAGAGATGCAAAAATGGGAGGAAGCAAGCCATGAAGCTATCTAGAGGGAAGGAGGGGCCGAATGTTCCAGGCATAGAGGACAGCAGGTACAAAGCACCCAAGGTATTGGAAGAAAAGTCAGGATGACAATAGCTGCGGGAGAGAGGGAGGGCAAGTGAGGAAGTCAGCAGGAGCAGGGGGATTGGAAATCAGTGAGGACTCTGAGTGAGAAAGGAAGGGGGCTGTTGTTAAGCAGAAGAGTAACAAGGTTCTGACTCATGTTTTAAAAGGATAACTTTGGCCACTGTGTTGAAAATAGCTATAGGTGTGTGTGTGAATAAACATACATAAAAATGTATCAGTACAATTTCAAAAGTGCTGTGTGTTGTTTTCAACTGTGGAGTAGATCAGGGACATCTTGCTGGCAGAGGAGCGACTTCATTTCTTTTACACCTTCATACTCTGCGTTTGTTTTAAGACATGAATATTTATTAGCTTACTGCCAATTGGTGGATATTGAAGTTGTTTCTAATTTTTAAACTACAAAAAGTGCTATAATAAGTATCCTTCCTTGTGCACACAGCCAATATATCTGAAGGACAGACTTGTAGAAGTACAATGGCTAGGTAAAAAACATGCATATTTACAACTTTGAGAGACACTGGCACATTATCCTCCCAAAAGACCATAACAAGGTATACTCTTTCCAACACTGTATTTGAGTGTTTTTTGCCCCACATCCTCACTAACATGGGTTATTTATCAATGATCCTTTTAATTTTTGCAAATTTGATAACCAAAGAATAGGAAAGTCATTTTAACTTGTTTTTCTTTGATTATTAATAAGACTGGGCATGCTGTCCTATGTCTATGTTACTTGGATTTCTTTTTCTGAGAACATCCATATTCTTTGCCTATTTTTCCATTGAACTGTTAGTCTTTTAAATATCACTCCCTTAAAAAATAAAGGTGAAAGTCTCAAGTTACAGCAAAGAAAATAATTACTCCTGACCAATCGTAGACTTTCTTATTGTTATTTTTACTTAGTAAAGTCTCATTAATTTGGCATTTGAGGACTTTGGGAACAGTCTGTTCTGCAAGTGACCTTTGTACCATCTGTGATCCATTTTAGCAAGATAGCAAAATATATATATATATTCTGAGAAA